CCTTCCGGGAGGCTGTTTTACACATCCGTGATATGATCAGATTATTTGATCACTGTCTGTTCCAAGTTCACAAGCACTGAAATTCAGTGTGTGCCATGCGATTCTGTTGGCTTTGGTAAGTGTGTTGTGTAGCTACCATACCATTTCAGTATCGGGTAGAACAGTTGCACCGCCTTGAAAATGCCCCTGTGCCTCAGTTGCCCTTCTCGGAACCACTGGGTTTTTGTTGTTGTTGTTGTTGTTCCTCTCCTCTGCTGTTTTTCCTCTTCCATATCTGGAAGTTTTAAATTTTCTTCTGAAGCCATTTGTGTCTTACAGAATAACAGTGGGCCGGGGCTGAGCTTGTGTTTTTATTAGTTCCTGAGGAGGTACATTCTGCAGGGCTTCCTGGACAACGACTCAGGGCTGAGTAGGTGTGTCAGCAGTGTTCAGTGCAGATGTAGTCCAGAAGACCAGAGTGGCTTGGGAGGTGCTGAAAGGAGAGAGCACATGTTCGGGACTTGTGGTTTGGTGTGGTAGCTTTAGGTCATACGTGTGTGGTTTCTGCTTTGTGAATATGGCTGGTGTTTCTCATGATGCCCCCAGACACTTCCACACAGTTGTTTTCAGTCAGAGCTACGTGTCCTTCATTTCCAGGAATGGTTTTATTGAGTTGTTCTCACTCCCTGCCTTCTTTCCCCACTGGCTTCTTATTATTTTTTTTAATTTGATGATGTTTACGTAGTTGATTAGGGTGGGAAGGGCTAAGGGCTAGGAGAAAGGGGTGAGACCACTGTTTTCACATTTTCTTTTTTCTTCTTACTATAGCTGGGGGAAGAGAGGATATAAGGGCACATCTAGCTTCCCAGCTGCTTTAATACCCAGGAATGGAGAACGGCTGCTTGATGTCCTCCCAGGGTCCTCATATGGAGCATGCTCTAAGGGATCTGCTTAAGTGGTTTCGATAGTTCTGAAATGCTGTTGATCTCAGATCCAAGATCCATTGGTTGACATGGTCTACGTTAGAGTCTCAATTCACCGAAATGTTTGCTATTACTGCTTGGTTGGAGTAGTTGTATAATTTGTTCTGCCCTCCTTTGTCACAGCACCAGATGTTCTCTGCAGGCCCCAGTGGACTGCCATATCCTCCATATGCATCTGGGCATGCCATGCACTGCTCCATCTTAGCCACTGAGGAGGTCCAGTTCTAACACAGGGACTCCATGGTCAGACCACAGATCCTGTAATTCTTCCTGTGGTTGGAGTTCTGAGTCCAGTGGTTCAGCTGGGGGAACTGCAGCTCAGCCCTATTCTGTCCACCATACATTCAGCCTAGCTGGAGCAACCCCAATAGCCCTAACTAGGCCAGCCCCCAGCCCTGGTTCCTGTGCTTGCCAGTATATGCAGCAGACTGATCCAGTCTGTCCCACATCCCATTCAGTTCTCGTATACATCAGTGAGTGTTGAAGCAGCCCTAGCTCAATCCAACCAACCCCACTATCCAGGCCACATTCATGCTGGTGGGAGTTTCGCCAGGCCTGCCCCCAGCCCTGGTTCCCATTGGCTTCTTGAGTTTGGTTGTATTTTTGTGGTCAGAAAGCAGACTTTTTTTTTTGCTTGAGAACATGTGTCATATGCTCTGGAATGGTCTAAGGATAGCAGCTCCTGTGTGAAGCCCTTCAACACACAGGAGTAGTCAGAAGAGATAACTATTGTGGATGTTCTTATTCTCTTGGGAGGACACAGACTTGGTTCACTTGTGGCCTTCCTGAGTCTCTGAAAGCTGACATGGAGCAGCATTTGGCTTCCATGAGTGTGAAATTAAAAGATGTAAACAAACAAGCAATTGGCCAGACCAGGGTCGGTATCTAGGAGCTCAACCCTAAGTCTCCTTTATCTGTGGCAGAAACCCAAGTTCTTGGGCCATGACCGCTGCCTTCTGATGTCTGCAATAGCAGGACATTGGTGTGAGGAGCCAGATCTGAGTGTTGGACCCAGGTACTCCAGTATGGCACACAGGAGTCCTAACTGGCATCTTGCCCCACTAATGCTCAACCCAACGTGCAAATTTTGTTGTGCTTCTCATTCCACACACAGTGCTTAAAAGAAAGCCTAGTGAAAGGCATCATGTGCAGTTAGGTAGAGTTCTGTAGGAATAGATGTGAGCAGATAAGAACAGATGTGTTCACAGAGTTTCCCTTCTTATGTGGAAGCTCAGGGCCAAATGGGCAATGCACTTTAAAATGTCACTCGTCAGTGTCAGTGCACAAATGTTTTTTTTTTAAGATTTATTTTTTTATTTTTTGTCACAAAGTCAGATATACAGAGAGGAGGAGAGACAGAGAGGAAGATCTTGCATCCGATGATTCACTCCCCAAGTGACCACAATGGCTGGTGCTGCACCGATCCAAAACCAGGAGCCAGGAACCTCTTCCAGGTCTCCCATGCGGGTGCAGGATCCCAAGGCTTTGGGCTGTCCTCAACTGCTTTCCCAGACCACAATCAGGTAGCTGGATGGGAAGTGGAGCTGCCAGGATTAGAACCGGCGACCATATGGGGTCCCAGCACATTCAAGGTGAGGACTTTAGCTGCTGGGCCACACTGCCGGGCGCACAAGTGGGTATTCTTAAGCAAAATCCAGATGCTACTAAGACTTTGACTCAGATATGTAGAACTTCCAGAAAGCTGAAGAATTCCAAGAGTTGGATTGGAATAAATAAGTAAGGAATGGGAAAGTAATTATTTTTGTTTTGGTTGTAGTGCTGGGACTGAGCTAGATGACTCCAAATGCACATGATCCTTATAATCAGTGAACTCTTGTTTTAGTCAGACTCTGACCTGGAATGTAGGTGCCAGTGTACTGAGATGAAAAAATGCATTGATGTCACAGGCTAAAATTCTCTGGTGTCATTTTTCTGTGGAAGTGTCCAAAGGCTGTTCTGGTCTGACTCACACCAGCTGCCATAAGATTGCAATATCCTCTGCTAATGTCCTTGTGTCCTTTTATCCACTGGACATTGTAATCTTATTTCTGGGTTGAATGTATCAGTGGGAGCTGGTACCATGCTGCACCGCTGTGGTCTTACATCACACAGGAGAATTAAGGCAAGGAATAGAATGTTATCACGTGTGGGTAGGGATCTGCCCTGGAATGCTGTCCTTGGTCAGTGCATGAGAGAGTGTAGAAAGCCTGTTTCAGAACACTTCCAGTTCCAACTAGGGAACTGAAGGTTGACTCTTTTTTTTTTTCTTTATTATTATTTTTTTTATTGGAAAGGCAGATATACAGAGAGGAGAGACAGAGAGGAAGATCTTCCATCCCATGATTCACTCCCCAAGTGAGCCGCAACGGCAGATGCTATGCTGGTCCGAAGCCAGGAGCCTCTTCCGGGTATCCCACACAGGTGCAGGGTCCCAAAGCCTTGGGCCATCCTCGACTGCTTTCCCAGGCCACAAGTCAGGGAGCTGGATGGGAAGCGGGGCTGCCGGGATTAGAACCGGTGTCCATGTGGGATCCTGGGCGTGCAAGGCGAGGACCTTAACCACGCGCCACAGCGCCGGGCCCTGAAGGTTGACTCTTAAAGTCATTAAGGGGCAAGAGAATTGAAAATGGTGGGGGGTTCTCAATTGGGGAGATGATTTTGTGTCTGACTAAAGTGTGTGGAGTAGTTTCCATTAAGAAGCCCCTGCACTGCTGTTCAAGCTGGGCTGAAATGATGCATGCTCATTAGGCATGAGCAAGCAGCATGAACTGACTTCTAAAGAGACATTTCTGGAAGGTCCTTGATAGGGTAAGTATTCCATAATGGTTTTGACTAATGGGATTGTGTAATAGACAGATGAATGGAGGATGCTAAGGTGACCAGGATAGTATTTTGTCTAGGAGTCTATTTTATTGAAAAGTAGGTACCTGGCAAGCTTCTATTGCCATCTGGTCAGTTGCTCAGTTTAGGGAACATTTGATTAGTATTTGGAATCTTCAGTTACATTTCCCCTCATTAGGAAGACCCTACCAAAGTGATATCTCTGAATTTAGCTTTCTAAGTAGTTGGAGTTCTTAAAAATAACCCAACAGGTATCATGTGGAGAAAGAAGAATTTGAGAGCAATATTATGTGTTGTTAAGAGCTGGGCCTTGGATTCAAACTCCTATGATTGACTCTTATCTGCCATTCAGAAGCTTTGTGGTTTTAAATGGACACTAAACATTTCTGGCTTCAGTTTTCTCTCTATAAACTGGGAGTAGTACATGACCTATCTGTAAGCTGTTATTAACCTTGTTGTTCCTGAAGCTATTGGCATTTAGCCATGGTGGAGGACAGAATGTTGCTGCACATTGATTCTTTCTGGCCCCTTCTCACATCATGCCTGATGAGTGAGATGAGTGAGTGAACCAGACATCTCATTGGCAGGAGACCATATCCCACCTGTAGCTTACACTTCTCTCTCTCAGCAGCTTGCCATTGAACCCTGGTGATATCACTTCCTTCTTTCTCATGCATAGTTTTCTTCCTTTGGATCATTTCCTGTGAAGGAAAGGTTGTACATTGTTGAGTAGGTAATCCTTCACCGATTATTTCTCCTTGGAATATCTGTTTCTGCTTGGGAGATCTGATCTGCCACTGATAGAGCAGTGTGGACTCCAAGATGAAGACAGAGCCTCATTGGGCAGAGACTCGTGGAGTTGTCCCTGGCTGGAGGAGGAAAGGATCCATGAGCAAAGCCTGTATCTGAAAATGCGCAGAGCTGCTCAGCGGTGGAAAGTCAACTTTGTTCAGTGCCCAACTTCTCGGATGTTCCTCGGCCAAGTGGGCCTGGTGGAACACCAGCTTGAGAACTGATTGGCAGCAAGATTTTGTGGCACACAGTTCTGTTAACAGGCAAATAATCCATCAGTCCCATGCCTCCCCCTCCTCCAGCACTCAGCTACTATCAGAGCCTCTATTAGCGATCAAGTGTGTGTGGGAGGGAGGGACCAGAGAGGGGCGAGGTTTAATCATTGAACCAAGCAGGCTACAACTATTTAGTCTGTAGCACGCAGCTCCCCAGGAAGTCTGCCAGGCTGGCCTGCAAGTGTGTAGTTCACAGCGACCCGGGAGCACGCTCTACACGGAAACCTCTGCCTGTCTCAGCTGAAGCCAGCATTGGGGAAGATGTTTGCGGTACATTTGATGGCGTTTTACTTCACCAAGCTGAAGGAGGATCAGATCAAGAAGGTAAGGACTTGGGGCTGAGAGGTGCACAGGTCATTCCTCACTGACCCCCTGCCTCTCGCAAGAAGGATTTCATTGAGCTTACTGGGAAAGATATTGAAAGCCTTGGGTTAAAAAAAAAAAAAAAAACCACAAACCTGCAAAAGGGGAAAGGGAGGAAAAGCACCCACATCCCTGGGCCTTGGATGGCTGTCGCAATCCCTGAATTTAGCTGGGAGCTTCCTGGTGAGAATCAGATGCAAAAGGCAACGCAGAGAAACTATCTAAAGACCTTGAAGAGGATTGTATTTGACATAAGGGTTGTCTAGGGAGGTAGCCATAAAGGAGAGGAGAGTACTTTTGATTTATTTATAATAAATTATTATATATTTTATTTGGAAGAGAGAGAGACATACAGAGAGAAATAGACAGAGATCTCTCATCTGCTGGTTCACTCCACAAAAGCCAGGAGCCAGAAGCACAGTCCAGGTCATCCAACGTACTGGAGTTATCACTTGCTGCCTCTCAGGGTACGCATTAGTAGGGAACTGGCATCAGAGGGAGCCAAGACTGGAACCCAGACTCTGATTCGGGATGTGAGCATCCCAAAGGGCATCTTAACTGCTTGCCAAACACCTGCCTCCGGAGGGTCATTTTTAAAGAAATTTTAAAAACTTTTGAAGGAGATATGATTATTGTTTGAAAGTATATACAGGGCCCAGCACCATGGCCTAGCAGCTAAAGTCCTCGCCTTGAACGCCCCGGGACCCCATATGGGTGCCGGTTCTAATCCCGGCAGCTCCATTTCCCATCCAGCTCCCTGCTTGTGACCTGGGAAAGCAGTGGAGGACGGCCCAAAGCCTTGGGACCCTGCACCCACATGGGAGACCTGGAAGAGGTTCCTGGTTCCTGGCTTGGGATCGGCGCAGCATCAGCCGTTGCGCTCACTTGGGGAGTGAATCATGGGATGGAAGATCTTCCTTTCTATCTTTCCTTCTCTCTGTATATCTGACTTTGTAATAAAAATAAATAAATCTTTAAGAAAGAAAGAACTTGCATTAAAAAAAAAAAGTAAGTATATACGTATGGACAACAAGAGAGGTATGAGTTTTAATGTATGGAGGTTGAATTCTGTATTACCCATGCTGTTTGTGAAGGGAATGCTATTAATGATGTGAGCTCGCCTGGAAGAGCGAAAGGTCATCTGGATTCTCTAGACAGTGTGAGTGAGCCTAACTTTTCTGTCTGGCCATGTTTGACATCTCCCAGTTTACAGATCTCTAAAGTCCTCTTAGGTGTAGACTGAGCTAGGGTTCCCCCGGTACTTAAGGTGGGACGAAGTTTAAATCTGAATTGGATGCCTCCCCTTCCCTTGTTCTTCCCATTGTGCCACAATGCTTCCTACTTTCTTCCATGAGAAGGAGGAAAACATGGAGCCTCACAGCCCTCCTGTGCTTGGTAGGATAAGCTCTCAGTAAATTCCATTCATTAGAGCTGGGGCTAAGGATTACAGCAAATCTGAAAATATTACAAACCAGGATGGGCACTGTGGTGTAGTGGATTAAGCAGCAGGTTGAGACACATCCCATATCAGTGTGCTGGTTCAGTTCCAGGCTATAATGCTTCTACCAGCTTCCTGCTAAGGTACCTTGAAAGATAAAAGATGAAGACCTAAGAATTTGAGTTCTTGCCACCCATGTGGGAGATCTATGTGGAGTTCCTGGCTTTGGCATAGCCCTACTCTGACTGTTGGGGCCATTGTGGAATGAACCTGCTGACAGAAGATCAATCTCTTTCCACCCCCCACCCCTTCTCCTTTTCAACTAGATGCCACTAAGAGTCAGATTTAACCTGTCCGATTTTTCACTTACAGTTCAATCCATGTAGGAAGTTAAAGGAATTCTCTGAGGCTCTGTCTAAGCTTCCCTGTGCTGTTGTTTCCTGCTTAGGAGAGAAGCAACCTACAGGGCATCTCTCCCGCCCCCAGGGAGGAGTCTGGAGCCCTGAGACCTTTGCTTTCCCAAGCTGTGGCGGTTAACCTTTTGTTCTACCCTGAGGTGAGGCAGGATTTGTTTGCTCACCAACACAAGTACAGGCTGGGCTCGGGGCCCCTCCTCTGATGTGAAGCAGCCTTTGTCTATGCCTAAACCTGACCTTCCTTCTCCCGTTGGCTGCCCTAAGCTGGTGACCTGGTGATGTGGGGTAGTGGTGGCAGGGCTGAGTCACGGTTACACAGGACACAGCTCCCCGTGGTGCTGACATACCTGGTCAGAAGGTATTGCGTGTTCTGCTCTGTCGTCAGCTAGCCATATACCGTCCTTGTTTCTGTATTCCCTGCCTCTGAATTGTGTCAAGGCCTTGTGCCATACTTGCCTGGGAGGGCTCCTGTTCTGACTGTGACACAAGTTTTGTTTTTTAATCTCCTCACACCCATATTAAACAGAAAGAAAAAATGAGAAATCATTATGGCAGCTTCTTTTCCAATTCAAAATATTGACACTGTTTGCTCTGTTGAAGACCCTGGCAGGGTCTGGTCACTGACCTGAGATTGTTCATCTGTAAGAGCAGGATGGGGAGGCAGGCTTCCAAAGTGTATTTTTTACAATCTAGGAAGTCAACATTATGAAAAAGTAGAAATGCTTCCTTTCATCACATACCCTGTCATGTTTGCTGTGCAAAAGCATCTAGTATCTTATCTCTATGTCTTTTTAAAAAATGTATCTATTTTATTCATTTGAAAGGTAGAGTCACAGACACAAAAAGAATGAGAGGTCTTCTATCTGCTGGTTTGCTCCCCAAATGGCCACAATGACTGGAGCTCCAAAACTGGGAACCTCTATGAACCTCCCATTGGGTGCAGAAGCCCAAACACTTGGAACCTCTTCCATTGCCTTCCTGAGCCATTATCAGAGAGCTGGATCAGAAATGAAGCTTCTGGGACTCGAACCAGTGCCCATATGGGATGCTGGTGCTGCAGGTGGAGACTTACCCTGATGTACCACAACATCTTCCACCCCATGTAATTTTTAAAATATAAATTTATTTTATTTTTGATGATGTTTATATAGTTGAAAAGGATGTATACTCTTGCAGACCACTGATTAAGAGGGTTGAGGTATGGGGTAAGTAGATGAGACAATTGCTTAACTTTTTTTTCTTTCTCTATCTGGGGGAATAAGGGAGAGGAGAGGGGGCTTCTCCCAGCAGCCTGACCACATCAGTACCCGTACCCTCTGTACTTTCTTGCAGTTACCTTGATGTGTGCTAGACACACAGCTCCAACTCTTGCTTGCCTGTTACTGCTATGTTGCTTACAGATTTTTTTCTCCTTTGTTTTCATTATTTTCATTGTATTGTCTACCTAATAGTTCATCAAATGAATGTGCTGTTATTTATTCAAACTTTTCCTTCTTACCTGACTTTGGGATGCTTTTAAAACAGTCAACAATTTGAATATTGTAATGGTAGACATTGCAGTGTATTTGTTGTTTTCCATATTTGGAGTTATTTCTGAGAGCAGGTTTCCAGAAATGAAATCACTGGGTCAAGAAGTGTAAACTTCTTATGATTGTTGGATCATGGTCTGAGACCTTTGGACTCCATAGCTGTAAGTCCCCTTTCAGCTCCTGCATCTGTAATTGAGCAGGCAGAGCTTGACTTTTTGACTTTACTCCTCTGAGTCAAATAAGCCACGTGTTAGTGCTCTGGATGCTGTCGGCTGCTGTGGTACATGAGTCTTTTCAAATAGAGACTGGGTCTTCTGTGACAGGAGCCCCTTCTTTAATCTCAACATATCTTTCAGTCAGTCTTTCCTTCCAGCTACTTTACAAGGTATGTGGGAGATACAAAGAATAAACCAGAAACTGTGCTGAAGTTGTCCTACTATCTGAATGTAACGCCAAAGACCTTATTGCATTCAGCTGCAGCTGCAGACCATCCCAGCAGTCCTTAGCCATCACTGGCACAGACAGGCAGGCATAAGGTATATGGCTGGGGAAGCTCTTTGTCCTCTGGGACTGAGCAGTAGGCTCAGGGACACTGTATTAGGGGCTTTGGGTAGATGAAAGATGAAGGGCAATTCCCATATAGGGCATTCCTGTCTTCCCCAGCCCCAGTCTTGGGGGTCACGTCTCATCCACTTCTCACCATTGTGTGTGCTGTGCCAACCAATTAGTCATGATGAGACAGGCTGAGCAGCAACCCCCTAATGAAGCCTGACCTGGTTACATCCTCGTCTTCCCCCACAGCCTAAAGCACAATTATCTTTTGTTGTTAGTGGCTCTCTGGTGGCATTCTGGCTATGAGGCCTTCTCATTGTTGGCTCTTGACTGAGCTGGCTCTTTCTGGCCTCTTGAATCCTGGCTGATGGCTGGGCACCCATTCTCAGACAGAGGTAAAGTGAGCCCTGTAGTTTTCATGTCATCAGCTCAGTTTAACCAAAATGGAAATTTAAAGCACTGGCTCATAGAGATTATAGTTAGAAATGGGATTTAGCTTTGAGCTTCTCAGCAGCCAGTAAACAAAAGGAAATGGTTTGGATTTACCTATTCTCATCACTGGAGAAAAAAATGCTTCCATGTTTAGGAACCAAGGATTTGAGCTGTAGCCAGTCTACTATGGCAGAGAAGTGAGGAGATGTTTAGGGCCTGGAACTACAAGTCGCAAAACCAGCATCCTTCTTTGTTTGGGCCCCTCCATTGCCCCATCAGAAAAATGGGGGAACCACTTGTTCCTTGGAGCTTGCCATTTGAGGAATAAGTCCACACTTTCACAGATCACCATTCCATTTTGATCTCTCAGCTCCACACTTTGTCCCCAGCTTGTTGGGGTCAGCTAAGGAGCCTTTGGGAGTGGGTGCTGTAATCCTGCCTCAGAGGCAGGAATACTGCTTTGTGGTGGGTGTGGGAGCTTATAGCCTCAGCTGGAGGGCAAGTTCCCCAGCAGCTGACCCTGGCCACCTGGGTGTCTGTTCCAGGTGGACAGATTCCTGTATCACATGCGGCTTTCTGATGAGACCCTGTTGGATATTATGGCACGCTTCCGGGTTGAGATGGAGAAGGGCCTGGCAAAGGACACCAACCCCACTGCCTCAGTGAAGATGCTTCCCACCTTTGTCAGGGCCATTCCGGATGGCTCAGGTGAGTGGGGCTGATAACTGGTAGGGAACCCAATCCCATCTTCTCTTGGCTGATGTGCTTCACACTCTGGCTTTTCCAGGCCACTTTGTCAGTCCTCCAGAATACTTTGTGTTCCAAAGCCCAAGGCACCTTACTCTCCCTGTTCATCGTGGTCTCACCTTCCCTCATTGAGCACTAGCTTGAAATCTCAAACCCAACTCAGATAGTGGCCATCATGGGCCAGAAGTTCTATCAAGGTCCATGTCATCCTGCTGTGGATGTAGTCTCCTCCTGGACCAATGGTCCCATGAGGCCAGGTCTTATTCCCTGCGAAGTTTCCAGCACCTGGCATGGTGCCTGATGCATATGAGGCCCTGACTTGTTTGTTTAAGGAGCCATAAGTGGTGTCCGCTCCCTGGTGTCTAGATCCTAGACCATCCATAGTAAATAATGGAGGACAAATTAAGGCCATTGAAGCAGCATTAAAGGATAACTCCGGATGCCTGGCTCATAGCCCAGTGCCATCACTCCTCAGTTACTTTAGGTAAGTGTTTAACCTCAATTTCTGTAAGTTGGGAGAGTTGAACTGCATATTCATTTCCTAGGGCAACTATAGCATGTTACCACAATGGTAGTGACTAGAAACCACACTGATTTATTCTCTGACAATTCTGGAAGGTACAAGTCTGAAACAGGTATCTGGACTGCAGTCAAGATGTGGGCAGAGCTGCTTACTTTCTTGAAGCTCCAGAGGAGATTCTGTTTACTTGACTTTTCCGCTTCTAGGGGCTACCTTGCTTCCTCAGTCCATGCTTCTTACTGTTTTCAAATCTCTCTGACCCTGATGCTGCACCTCTTTCTTCATACCTAAAGATCCTGTGATTGCAGTAGGACCTCTTGGATAAGCCAGGATACTCTTCCAACATTGAGGCTGGCTGATAAGCAGTATTTTATTCCAGCTGCAGCCGTACTCCCCCATTGCACAGGCCCTAATGTTTTCACAATATCTGGGGATTAGCACTTGGATATCTTTGACTGAGGATGTTAACTCTGCCTTCCACTGCCTAGAGCTCTGTAGACGAAATTTATGAGGTCCCATCCCACTCTTCTATCCTCAGTCTCTGGACAAAGCCCTGAGAAGGAGAAGTGATATTTACTGAAAGCTACTGTTGTCCCTTGGTGTTGGAGACTTACTGTGTCTCTCGGTCTCTATGGAGTCCCTGGACGAAGCTGGCACCAGAACAGGTGACAGAAAGAACCTCCCTCAACATCAGGGTCCCAATGCTCAAATCAGTGACTGAAGTTTGCGAAGCTCTCAGGGGACCTTCGATTAGATGGCCTGGGGCAATGCAGTGGTCAGGGGAACTTGGCCTTGCTAATTCGAAGGTATCTGGGATGCCTGATAGGAGAGGCCTTGCTCCCTTGTGGGTAGGTAGGTGCTTGGGGCAGGCCACAATCCCCAGCGTGGAGGAACAGAAGCAGCTCTGCTTTGAAGGCATAGCCATGGCATACTGCTTGATGACAGTGCCCAGGATACACTGGTCTTTATAGGTCATCTAGTGCCATTTCGAGGAAACATGTGAGTCATGGGGTGTGTAGGGTGGGTGGGGAACATCAGGACTAAGTCCTCCTGGCTTCCGGAGCCAAGGCCGCTCCTCTGGATACAGACAAGTGCGTTCTAGACCCAGGGGAAGTGGCCTTGGATAAACTGGAAAGCTGTTTGGAGGAGGTACATTTCTGGCCCTACAGCCAGGTAGGTTTAGCAGTGAAACTGGCCAAGGTATTTTTTTTTTTTTAATTAACGTACTTGAGAGTCTGTCAATTATCAATCATCTATCTGCTTGCTGGGGGAGTTCCCCAGAGGTCTGCAATGCTAAGGCTGATGCCAGGAGGTAGGTATCAATGCAGGTCTCACTGATGGGGAGAAGGACTACAGTGACTGACATTCCCTCCTGGGGTGTGTATTGGCAGGAAGCTGGAATCAGGAGCACTGGCTGGCACTTGTAGCCAGGTACTTGGATGTGGGACATAGATGACTTCACTGCTGGGCAGAACACCGGCTCCCAGCTGCTCAGGTTTTGGAAACCCCATTCTGCCCTGGAGATTCCTCCTTCCTCCACTGTCATCAGCTGAGTCTCAGCTGTGATTCTGTGTAGTGAGATCCCTTGGCCTAGAGTCCCTGAGCCAGGTTCCCTTGGTGACCTCTAGGACCACTGTACTCCTGTGCTCATCAGTGAGAGGAGGTGGCCAGCATGCTCCACCAATTTATAGGCTGTGGTAGAACGGACAGAAAATTTCTCCCCTGAAATTGGAGACTTTAAATCTATTGAAATGAATTCTCCAGAGACAGAATCATAGGAGAAAGAGCCTGCACATTTAGTAACATGCACACATGTGTGTGAACCATGTAACAGATGGAACTTGGGGCAAGCACTTATCTGGTGACTAGGATGCTGGTTAAAATACCTGCATTCCGGGGCCCAGTGGCATGGCCTAGCAGCTGAAGTCCTCGCCTTGAACGCGCCAGGATCCCATGTGGGCACATGTTCTAATCCTGGCAGCTCCGCTTCCCATCCAGCTCCCTGCTTGTGGACTGGGAAAGAAGTCAAGGACAAACCAAAGCCTTGGGTTGACAGACCAAAGCACCCACATGGGAGACCCAGAAGAAGCTCCAGGCTCCTGGCTCTGGAACGGCTCAACTCCGGCTATTGTGGTCACTTGGGGAGTGAATCATCCGACGGAAGATCTTCCTCTCTGTCTCTCCTCCTCTCTATATGTCTGATTTTGTGATAAAAAGTAAAATTAATCTTGGGCCCAGCGTGGTGGCCTTGTGGCTAGAGTCCTCACCTTGAACGCCCCAGGATCCCATATAGGCGCCGGTTCTAGTCCCGGCAGCTTCACTTCCCATCCAGCTCCCTGCCTGTGGCCTAGGAAAGCAGTCAAGAACAGCCCAAAGCTTTGGGACCCTGCACCCATACAGGAGACCTGGAAGAGGTTCCTGGCTCCTGGTTTTGGATGGGCGCAGCACTGGCCGTTGCGGTCACTTGGGGAGTGAATCATCGGACGGAAGATCTTCCTCTCTTTCCTCCTCTTTGTATATCTGACTTTACAATAAAAATAAATAAATCTTTAAATAAATAAATAATAAAGTAAATCTATTTTTTAATAAAGATTGATTTATTTTTATTTGGCATCCCGGCTTGTTCAAGGACCCCCAAGCTGCCAAGCCACCACACCAGGCCCAATAAAGTAAATCTTAATAAATAAATAAAATACCTTCATTCCAAGTCAGAATGCCTGCGTTTGGTTCCCGATTCCAGCTTCCTGCTATTGCAGACCCTGGGAGATGGTGCTGACCGCTCAAGTGACTGAGTTTCTGTAATGCATGTGGGGGACTGGGATTACTGTGTGCCCTACTGCTCACACAGAGCTTGCCATTGAGTAGACTCACAATGATTGGTAACTTTTACACTTTTTAATAGAAAATGGGGAATTCCTCGCTCTGGATCTTGGAGGCTCCAAGTTTCGTGTCTTGAAGGTGCAAGTGTCTGCAGAGGGGAAGCGAAATGTCCAAATGGAGAGTCAGTTCTACCCCACGCCCAATGAGATCACCCGTGGGAATGGCTCAGAGGTACCCTGTGGGTGGCAGGGCAAGCCCTGGCCACTCTCAGCTGACCCTACCTGAGCCCTGTGTCCTGTGCCTTCTTCTGTCTGCAGCTGTTTGAGTACGTAGCTGACTGTCTGGCAGATTTCATGAAGACTAAAGACTTGATGCATAAGAAGTTGCCCCTTGGCTTCACCTTTTCTTTTCCCTGCAGGCAGACTAAGCTGGAAGAGGTAAGCCCCAGCCAGGGAGGGTGGAATGGGCAGGATTGGAGGTATGAAGTAGGTGGAAATGGGCTTGCCAGGAGTCAGGCTGGGCACAGGGCAACTGCAGGAGTTTGCTATTTGATTGTCTTCTTTTGTTAAAGTGAAGTGGCAGTGCAAAGCAGCTTGGTAACACAGTGACTTTGATTTTGCACTCAGCATGAGCACAGCGTGAGGAAGTGGCGTGGTTTTTCTCAAACCTTGGTGAACATCCTCAGAAGTGACTTAACCCTGGTGCCAGATGTCCTCTGTGCTTTTGTACCCTTGTTCCCAATTTCACAGGTAGCTTTGGAGAGCAGGTGCTGGGTTGTAATTCTCTCACCCTGTCCCCCATTTAGAGCTGTCACTAGCAGAGTGTGTTACACTTATAGGGGATCCATGGTTGTCTCATGATTGAAAGGTTCAATCGATCATTTATTTGGTTCCCTGAGTGAAGGTTTGCCATCAGCCGTGTAGAGGACAGGCTGAGGTTTACTTTTGAGTTCTTTTATAAGGACCAGATTGGGAACCCAGTGGGTTTGGAATGTTTTGATGAGACTGAGGGCAGTTTTGCTGTGGGCAGGAGAGTGAGCAGGGGAACCGAGGAGCAGGCCTTGAAACTGGAATCTCTGGTACAGGCGCCAGTTGTATACCTCTCATCTCAGTTCAGAGATGACCCCAGCAAGAAGAAAATACTCAAGCTCTATGGAAGTTAATTTGATGTTGAGAGTCAGGTTTAAGTGTTTTAGGGGTGTGTATCAGGGAAAGTATATGGCATGTCTATCAGGATTTTGGCATTTATCCTTGCCCACTGCCCACCAGCATCTTTCAGTTGTAATAGTGGCAACACCGTGCCTTGGATGTTGCCAGTGTGCCGCGTAGCTGTACTCTTTTTTTGTGCATTATCTCATTAAAGTCCTCAACCAGCTGGAGGAGATAGATAGGAATATCTCATTTTTCTAACATTAATTTTTATTTAATTTAGCTCACTTATTTGAGAAACATAATGACAGAGACAGACAGTTCTCACCCACTGCTTCACTTCACTGTTTCCAAGAGTTAGGGCCAGGTTTGACGGAAGTCAGGAGCCCAGAACTCAATCTAGATTTTGCATAGGAGTGACAGGAACCCAGTTACCTGAGCTGTGACTCTTGCTCTTAAGGTTCTCATTAGCAGAAAGCTGAGTCAGGAGCTGTAGCCAGATATCAATTCCAGGCACTCTGATATGAGCTGTAGATATTTTAACCAGCATTGTAATCATTGCTCAATGCCTGCCCTTGTCACCATTTTATATTTGAGAAAAATTGTAGTTCAAGGGGTGGGAGACTTCCCAAGGCCACACAGCCAAGGGTGCCTTGACCCAGACTCAAAAATTCTTTAACTACACTTTGCTTAAAATGTGAGCCGGTGGTTAAGATACTGCTTGGGATACCTGTACTCATATTGGAGTGCCTGGGTGTGATTCTTGGCTCTGTTTCTGATTTCAGTTTCATGCTAGTGCACACCTTGGGAAACAACAGGTGATGGTTCAGGTACTTCATCCCTGACTCCTACATGGGAGACTACATGGAATTCTGGGCTCTGACGTTTGATCTGACCCAACCCCATTGTTTGAAGCATTTGGGAGATCTTTCTACCTGTCTGTTTAAAAAAAATTTTTTCTAATTGTTTTTTAATATCAGCAGATTCCTGAAAATCCTTTGACCCATTTTGTGTTCTATTGTGATAAGGATTTTTCATAACCTCTAATCTAAGGAAAGGAACTAGATTATACTGAAGAGAGAAAGGCTTCCTCTCATCAAACTCTTGTTGAAGTATTTGTACTTCCTAAAATTTCTTGCTAAGTGGAAAAGCTACATCTAGGGGAAAACTCCTTTCTAGCTGTAACTGAATGTGACAGTTCACTCTCCCTCTTGTTCAGTAATGGAGTCTGCTGAGGCAAACTGATGGTTGTAGATCAGCAGGAGAGAGGCACAGCAATCATACACACTGGGAAACGGAAAGGAGGGCTCCATGGTTGAGTCTAAAACACCCTCTTCACAGGGAGAAAGACATGGGGCAGTATGGAAGATACGTTAGGGAAGATGTACAGGTCCAAGGCTGGGATAATAATTAGCTACTGTCAGGAGTGGAGCTGAGTCGAAATCCAGGCACTCTGATATGGGACGTGAGTAACTTAACAGGTGCCTTAGCTGTTAGTCCAAACACCTGCTCCTACTTTTACATTTTTGAAGTAGAGGGACAGAGAAGTCTTTGTGTGTTTTCTAAGGATAAAGCATAATGTTTTTCGAGGCAAAAAAAAAAAAAATAGAGTATAGAAATAGAAAATTTCAGAGAAGAAACTGGAAACCACCTCTGCCCACAACGTGGAAGGATACTACTGGCATTGTGGGATTTTCCTTCTAGCCATTTCTGCAACAAATGCTGGTGTTGTGCCCTCTATTTACAACTGGTTTCCCCCAACTTGACATCATATGACAAGCGTTAGTGCTTTCCTTTTCCATTTTCTCACCCCGAGTCCCAGCATTGTTTCTGGGTGAAGCCACTGTGTTACAGCTGTTTCTGGTCTGTGTCACCATAGCCTGGGAAGGTGACAGTTGGGAAGGCTGCCACATTGCAGTGGCATTGCACAAGGAGAATGCCTGTTGGCATCAGAGAGCATGCATTGCCACCAAGCAGTGTCCTTCACTCCCTGAGACCCAGAGCTGGGTCCCTCCTCGCCCATTGTGGGGGAGTGCATAAGGGGTACTTGAGCAGTTTGTGAACTTGGGCTCAGCTGCTCTTGACTGAACAGACTTGAGCAATCCTGTTAACCTCCTGGAGCCTTTCCTGTCTGGAAAATTTCATAACTATTTGCTATTTCAGTCATGAAACTGGGTGAACATGATTTTTTAAGCAATTGACTGATAATACAACTTGAGAACTATTTCTCCAAGTTGAAATTAAGTTCTGGAGGGAACTCATGTTCATTGTTCTGTGGACCTGCAAGACACATGTGGGCCCAGCAGCGTGGCCTAGCAGCTAAAGTCCTCGCCTTGAACGTTCCAGGATCCCATATGGGCACCGGTTCTAATCCCGGCAGCTCCACTTCTTATCCAGCTCCCTGCTTGTGGCCTGGGAAAGCAGTCGAGGACGGCCCAAAGCTTTGGGACCTTGCATCCGTGTGGGATACCTGGAAGAAGTTCCTGGCTCCTGGCCTCGGAGGGGCGCAGCACCGACCATTGTGTTCACTTGGGGAGTGAATCATTGGACAGAAGATCTTCCTTTCTATCTTTCCTTCTCTTTGTATATCTGACTTTGTAATAATAATTAAAAAGACACATGTTCTGTACATGTAATATGCAGTTACCATGCCCTGGTATTTTCTTCAGATTGTTCCTGGTTGGGAAGGAATTGTTCATGTCACAAATGAGTAAACACGCCATCATGTCTCATGGGCTAACTTTTCAGCAGTTGCTCTTTGTGCCACCATAACGTTTCAGACAGCTCAGTTGAGAGTTACAGAGGTGTGTACATGTTTGGAAACGACCTCTGAAGCAGTCCCAAAAGAATTGGGAAGCACTGTAGAGAATGGAGTTGGAAATGCTCCGTGAGAGAAGACATCCATGCCTGTGTGCTATGTCACGTGGCCTGGGCCTGCTGTGTTCCCACAGGGCGTGCTGCTTTCATGGACCAAGAAGTTCAAGGCACGTGGTGTTCAGGACACGGATGTCGTGAGCCGCTTGACCCAAGCCGTGAAGAAGCACAAGGTGAAGGTTCCCTCTCCCAGTCCTAGGCTCTTGCTCTAGCTGTGGCTGCCAGGAAGAAGAATCCTGGAGGAAGGGATGGGAGGGAGCCTCCTGCTGGAGTCCAGATGTGGCCATTTGTGTAAGCCCACGGGTGAGCCTGTTGTGGCTGCACACCCTTCCTTTCTCCGAGGCTGCCTTAACCCTCCCCCATCTCTGGAGAATGTGGAGAGCTGCAAGCTGTGTGTAAACCTTCCCACCTCCCTGAAGCTTCAGAGATCATGTTTCCTAATCTGACTCCATTCTACTCTGTTTCACTCCCCCCAAAATCTCTATGGAATGTATCTTATGATAATTGAAGTAACTACAAAAGCAAGACCTTGGTGAGCTGAAAAAAAATACAAAAAGAAGCCCAAATTGCTTATTATGTTAAGAGCAAGAGAACATTTTTTTTCGTAGCTTTTTTCTCTTTAAAGCTGATCATGTTCGTCTATAGCCTGTGCTTTTCTCCTACTGTTTTCATTTTACTCAAAAGTATTCCTCTAAACCTTTGGGAACCCTGTTGCAGTGACTCAGGTTGATGTGGCAGAAAGCATGGCCAGGCCATGGCTGAGGCTGCACCTGCTGGCCTCACTGTCCTGGTGGGTGGGTCCTCCCAGGGTAACTGTGACTGCAGTGATTTCTGAGCGTCTCTCCTGAGGGCCGCACAACCCCTGGGATGCTTGATCACATTTTCATTGCCCAGAGACCCTCAACACAAAGCAGGAGGAGCACGGGGTACCTCGTTTAGCTCCCTCCAGGGCTCTCTCCTGCCTGTTTCTCTTGGAGAAGCCCAGGAGGCAATGTCCCTGCCAGCCACTTTCCTGGTACTCACTGCCTCTGTAGAGAGAGATTCCCCACTCCCTGCCACATGCTGACCCCTCTGGGACTTTGTGTCCAACAGGACATGGACGTGGACATCCTGGCCTTGGTCAATGACACTGTGGGGACCATGATGACTTGTGCCTATGATGATCCCTACTGTGAGGTTGGAGTTATCATTGGTGAGTCAGCAGGGCTTTTGGGGGTGGAGGAAGGGGCTGATCTCGGACTTTGTTCCAGCCAAATCTATAGGGAGGACACAGGCCCCATGTCCTGGGGAGGAGCAGCACAAGGAGATGGACAGTTAAATAGGTTGGGCATCCCTCACATGAAATTCTGAACTTTAAAATGCCTGAACTCCAAAACTTTTATTTAATTATTATTTTTATTATTATCATCATCATCCTTGAGCGGCAAAGATAGAGAGATCTTTCATCTACTAGTTCATTCCTTGAATGCCTGCAGAATCCTATAATGCTGATAGGGGCAAGTTCACATTTCAGCTGCTTCATATCTGATCCAGCTCCCTGCTAATGGTCCGCGAAAGCAGCAGAGGATGGCCCAAGGCCTTAGGATTCTGCCATCCATGTGGGAGACAGGAAGAAGTTTTCTGGCTCCTGGCTTAAGCCATGGCTGTTATGACCACTTGGAAAGTGAACTAGGAAATAACAGATCTCTGCCTCTGTCTCTTCTCTCTCTCTCTGTAACTCTGACATATAAATAAATTAAATTTCTTTTAAAAGAACAACACAGCACATGGGGGTATGGTTGAAGGTGAGTAGATGAGGTGGTGGTGCCCTCCTGGGGATATCAAAGCAGGGACCTCAGAGGAAGGGAGTCCCTCCCAGAGGAAAGGAGAAACCTGTGGTGTCTGGGATGGGATGAGATTGGGTGCCCACTGGAAAATTGCACAGGGCCTTGGGACACGGTCACTGAGAGGCCAGTGACTGGTACCCCAAGAAGAGCCAGGAAGACATTGGAGGACCTGGGCTAGGGATGGATGCATGGATGTGTGTTACAGTGCTTGTTTTTACTCTGTTTTGTTTTGAGCCATGTGCATGCATGTTTACACACACACATACACACAAGCACACAAAACGCAGCAGAGACTAAAACAGAGATGGAACTCCCATCTACTGGATCATTCTCCAGATGCCCAGACTAGAGCTGAAGCCAGGACCTGGGAAGTCAGTCCAGATTTCCCACACGGGGACAGAGACCCAGTTTCCTGAGCCACATCACTGCTGTGTCCTGTGGTCTGCCTTGGCAGGAAGCTAGAGTCAGGAGCCAGTACTGGGTACTAAACCCAAGTACTCCAGTGTGGGGTGTGAGTGTTGTAACCCCCAAGCTGGATGCCTGCTCCTCTGCATCTTTTGAAGGCTCATTTTGACTGTGGTATGGGGCTGGTATTGGGAACACAAGTGAAACATGGTGGTCATCAGTGGTTAGGCATTGAGTGGGGTGGGTGTGCTTGGGACCTGGAGCAGGCAGGGGCTAGCTTGTGGATGGTCTCAGGCCTGACTGGATGGGACAGTCTGCAGGGTCCAAGAGGGTCGGTGGGGCACACACACACACAAAACACAAATGGATCTGATCTGCAGGCTGTTTTTTGACATCCTTCCCCTCTCCTCCCCTTCTTTACTATAGTTGGGGGCGGTTTTCTGAGTTGCACACTCTTCCTTTTCAGCAGCACCTTCCTGAGCCTGCCTTCTCCAAAGGGACCCTGATGTTCCTTCTTGTCCCCTGGAGGAGCCGCTTCCTCAGAGTGGGACAGTCACCCAAGGCTCCTTGCTGCTTTCCCCTGCATGTATCTTTGCCTCTAGCAGCTGCAGTTTGGGCACCAGACATAAACAAGGCCCATTCTTTTCTGAGAAAAGCCTTTTCCACATGTCAGAGTCTTGTTACTGTCACCACAATCCAATTTTAGAACATTTCTGTCCCAAAGAACCTGTGCCCATTTGCAGCTGTGCCTCAGCACATAGCATGGGAGACATTTTCTTGGAGTGCTTTTGAGTTGCAATGTTGGCTTGTTGCTGTATGGATGACAGCTCATCACTGTCTAGGATAAGGGGGAACTTTTGCTGGTAACACTGATGGCAGGCTGTGAGGGAAGGATATTTTTAGTCTTCAGTAGAGAAGACTCTTAATAGCTTCAGGAAGGTATTGAAGCAGTTACTGTGGATGGGAGGAAAAAAGTATTTATGTTTACAGGGTCAGTTCATCTCACCTGCTCCTGTCAGTGTACCAGCGACTCCTGCATCACTGACTCCATTCACAACAGCTGGCCCTCAGTGCCCTGATGGATGCTTTATCCACTCGTCCTCTCCAGCCAGGCCAGATCTGAGAACTGTTATTTTGCTAGGAACTATTTGGATGTGTGCACCATAACTTGCAGGCCACAAACAACGGCTTAAAACTCAACCTACTACAGACTTGCTGAATGTCAAGTCCTGCCTGCCATTGCCTTGGCAGAACCACACCAAGTGGTCTCATGCACCTTGTGCAGCCATGAGCCAGATATTCCCCTCCACCCAAATGCTAAGGCCTCCCAGAGGTGACTGCTAGACCTGTGAGTAGAGTGGAAGCTCCTATGGCCCTCGTAGGAGAAAGCCAGACTGCTGAGGTCTTACTGTGTCCCTGCCTGACCAGAAGCCTTTCTCTCCTATGTGTTCTGTCTGATCCCTTGTCTAGGTACTGGCACCAACGCCTGCTACATGGAGGACATGAGCAACATCGACCTGGTGGAGGGCGACGAGGGGAGGATGTGCATCAACACAGAGTGGGGGGCCTTTGGGGACGACGGGGTGCTCGAGGACATCCGCACCGAGTTTGATAGAGAGCTGGACCTTGGCTCACTGAACCCAGGGAAGCAACTGTGAGTGTCATCTTGCTAGATTCTGGGAATGGCACTGGGTTGTCCCCACTCTCTCCATACCCTTGGTGTCTGGGAGGGTCTTGTGATGAACCATCCGTCACTGTGTGTTTATAAGGCAAAACTTTATTCCAGTTTCATAGAACAGGTGAGGAAATCAAAGCCAAGGAAATGGACTGATGAGGTTGTATTGGCCTGGAACCTTGGTTTCTTTTCATTCAGTACATCCAAAGTAGGTGTAAGGTACTAGAGACAAGGGTGTGAATCCAAGGATGTGAGTACCCTGTTTGCTGCCAATCCCTGCCCTACCCTCATCCCGTCTTCACCGGCACTGTAATTATCCAGGTGCTATCTATCCAGCCTTAAGAAAAAATCTATTTATTTATTTAGAAGGTAGAGCTAAAGAGGCAGAGATGGAGATAGAGATAGTCTATCACTGGTTCACTCCCCAGATGACTGCAGTGACTAGAGTTGGGCCAGTCTGAAACTAGGAGCCAGGAGCTTCCTCCGTATCTCTCATAGGTGCAGGGACCCAAGCACTTGGGCCATCTGCCACTGCTTTCTCAGGCATATCAGCAGGGAACTGGATTGTAAATGGATCATCTAGGGACTTGAATCCATGCCCTTTCGGTATGCCAACAGTATGGAAGACAGTTTTACCAGCTACCCCACAGTGCTGACCCCTGTGTGTCCAGCTTTTACCTACATGCTGAGCTCCCTGGAGGCAAGCCATGAGTTCAATTTTTTTTTTCCTTTCCATTCCCCACACGGTATCTAACACATTATTACAGGATCAGTATTTGTTGAATGAAAAAATGTTTTCTTAAAGATTTATTTTTATTGAAAGGCAGATTTTACAGAGAAGATATAGAGAAAGTTTTCTACCTGCTGGTTCCCCAAATGACCACAACAACCAGAACTGAGCTGATTTGAAGCTAAGAGCCAGGACCCTTCTTCAGGTTTCCCACTTGGGTGTAGGGTCCCAAAGACTTGAGCCTTCCTCCACTGCCTTCCCAGGCCACAGGTGGACAGCTGAATTGAAAGTGCAGCAGCTGGGACATGAACCAGTGCCCATGTGACAAGCTGGTGCTACAGGATAGAGAATGAACATGCTATGCCACTATGCTAATCCTGAAAAAAGGTATTTTTTGAAAAATTTAGAATAATCTCAGATTTCTAGAAAATTTGTAAAAATAGTACAAAATCTCCCACATTTTCTCTTCACTCAAGTTTCTCAAATGGCAATTTTTTCTCTTGACTGATTCCTGTATCCTTTGACACGTTCCCCTTGCTGTTGGACTAGATGTTGGTAAGGATGTAAGCATCACCTTTCCTGAACCATTCGAGAGTGGCAGGTGTAACATCTCTGCACCCTTAAATACCTCAGGACACATCATGTGAAAACAAGAGCATGCTCTTATATAACCACACCACAGTCATTAAGAGGAGGAAATCAATGCTGCATTCTAAGATCTGAGTTACAGACTTCATCCATAATTCACCAGCTGCCCCACTAACGTCTTTTATGAAACAAGAACAAAAGCAAGTGTCCCGCTCTGGGCTCAGGTCCAGGGTCACGGGGTGCATTTCACCACTGCGCCTCTTCAGCCGCCTGCAGTCTGGAGCATTTCCTTGGCACCTCTTTGTTTTCCATGACCTCCAAGCGTGCAGGCCACTGGGTTTACAGAATGCCTCTCAGTTTGGATCAGTCGCCAGTTTCCTCGTGATTAGATTCAGGTTCTGTACTTTGGCGCAGCAGCGTCGTGCATGTGGTGTGTGTCTGCTGCTGTGTTACTAACGGTGACTCCTGTCCCACAGGCAAGGACATCTTCAGCAGGTTTCTCCACCTTGGGTCCTGCCTGTTCCTTTGGTCTTGAGCTGGCGCCCGTTACAGGGATGTTGAGACCTTGTTGGTACTGCGTGCCTGGGGGAGCCTCTGCTCCTTTCAGCACCATTGATGAGTTTCTGAACCTGTCACTCCTCCATGTTTCTTGGTTGTTATTCTGCTATGCAAGAAACCACTCCTATGGTGTGGGTTCTTTATAAGTAAGTTCTAATTTCTTCTTGTTTTTTCTTAAATATTTACTTACTTTTATTTGAAAGGCAGATTTGTAGAAGGGGCAGACACACAGAAAGATTTTCTACCCACTGGTTTACTCCCCAAGTGGCCGTAATGGTCAAATTGGAGCTGATCTAAACCTGGAAGCCCCTATGGGTCTCCTGTATGGGTGCAGGGTCCCAAGGCTTTGGGCCATCAGCTGCCTTCCCAGGACAACGCAGAGATCTGGTTGGGAAGTGGAGCAACAGGAACATGAACCAGTGCCCATATAGGGTGCTGACACCACAGGGTGCAAGGGTTGGCCTGTTGAGTCACGGCACCAACCCCTCTTGTTTTGATTAACAAATCTTTTCAGTTCTGATCAAAGGAAGCCTTTCCAACCAGCTTCTGTGTCTTTTTGACATGTCCCCATTGCCTTTTAATTTTGGGCACAGTAAAATGTGTCACCCTCATCTCACATTTGCTTGGTCCCAGTTCTGGAATCATGCATGTTGCAGAGACACTCTAGTAAATAAATATTTTAGGTCCCTCCCAGCAGCAATGTAGAAGCCAGGACTGTCCACCCAAACAGCACCTTCCTGCTTTGGCCGTACTTGCTTCCAGCACATGCTGATTTTCCTGGTGATCTGAGCAGTCATGTTCCAAGGACATGGTGCCTACACTTGTAATATTTCACTTCAAAAAAGTCCCATTCCCCTAAATCCAATCTGAATTTATTTGATCACTTCTGCTTTTTTTTTTTTTTAATGTTTTAAGATGTTTATGGTGGACTATATTAGGTTAATTGTAAAATAGATTTTCCTTGATTTTCTGTCTTATTGTATTTAGTGAAAGGGAAGTATATTCAGGGGTGGACAGTGTGATAAAGCAGGTTAAATCACCACTTGAGATGTTCATGTCCCCTGTCAGAGTGCTGACTTGAGTCCTGGCTGCTCTGCTTCTGATTCAGCTTCCTGCATCTTAGGTGGCAGCTCAAGTATGTGGGTCCCTGTCACCCATGTGGGAGACCTAGATGGAGTCAGTTTCTGGCTCCTGGCTTTCATCTAACCCATCTCTTGGCTGTTGTCAGCATTTAGACATTGAACCAGTATTTAGATCTCTCTCTTTCTTTGTCACTCTGCATTTCAAGTAGATAAAAGAAAAGTAAGCAAAAGAAAAATTGCAGGGCTGGGCACAATAGCTCAATTGGCTAATTTCCCCTTGCAAATTCTGGGATCCCATATGGGTGCTGTTTCATGTCCCAGCTGCTCCACTTCCCATCCAGCTCCCTGTTTGTGGTCAAGGAAAACAGTAGAGCATGACCAAAAGCCTTGGGACTCTACACCCAGATGAGAGACCCGGAAGAAGCTCCTGGTTTTGGATCAGCTCAGCTCTTGCCATTGTGGTCATTTGGAGAATTGGCCAGTGGATGGGAGATCTTTCTCTCTCTCCTCTCTGTAAATCTGCCTTTCCAATAAAAACAAATAAATCTTTTAAAAGGAAAGAAAATATGTGCCTGGGCTGGCTGGCGTATAGACTCAGAGTAAAGGTGTTGACACCCTTGAGGAGTATTCTGTAGAATTTCTCCGATACTGTCCATGCTCATCTCACAGATACAGTGCGTTTGTCACTTGGATAGAAGCATGGTGTAGGATTGGAAGCATCTGAGTCAGAAGTTGGATCTGCCATGCTGTGGCTTGGGTGATCTGGGGAAAGTTCTTGAAATCTGTGATGTTGAGGTCACCTGTGCTGTGAGGACGGCACCTCCATAGCCAGGGATGATTTGAGATCAAGATTCATGGAAAACAGGTTTTTGTGAGCAGGAAGGAACCTTAACTCTTCTCTGGCTTAGACCTCTCCTTTATAAGCGAAAGGGTGCAGCTCAGACAGAGGAGTGGGCCTGCAAGGGCAGTGGGCTCCAGCAAGCTGGAATTGGGCTCAGGCCTCCCCATCAGCGCTCCTGACCATGCCTGCGGCTCCTGCTCTTTGGGCGGTGATGCTGCACCATCAAGGGTATTCCTCCCACTGATTGATCTGTCTGCTGAATCATAGGTTTGAAAAGATGATCAGTGGCCTGTACCTGGGGGAGCTCGTCAGGCTCATCCTGCTGAAGATGGCGAAGGCCGGCCTCCTGTTCGGTGGTCAGAAGTCCTCTGCTCTCCACACCAAGGGCAAGATTGAAACACAGCATGTGGCTGCCATGGAGAGGTGAGCCACTGGCCACATCCTTCTGACCTTGACTCTGTGGCGTTCTGGGGGTAGGCTCAGGGTGGTGAGACAGCAGTGGGAGGTTGTCCCCCTTCAGTAAAAGAATTTCAGAGCTGGTCATGGCTGCAGATGGACCAACAGTTTCTGCTGGGACCCAGGCAACACATTGCTGTTGGTTCTGTCAGCCAGGAATTCTGCTTCTGAGATAGCTACCTTCCTGCTCCCTGAAGTGGTGAGTTAGAACATTGTTAGGGTCACAGGCCGCTTGCTGGATGCTTCATCTCCCAGCTGCAAGCTTATGCATGATGTTACTTACAATATCAGAGTATCCTTGGGTCCCTTTGAACCCATTAATGGAACTCTAGTTACAGACTTCCTGCTATCGTAAGTCTTCTCCATCAGGGATCATGGGGGATAGCTTTGGCCAGGGATCCCTGGAAGGAGAAACTGGAATGGTGAGCTGGCTGGCCCCAGTTATCAGGGTTCCATTCCTTAGTTTCAAAGCCCTGCTATTGCACTAAGCTTTATAATTAGTTTAGAGTCTGTGTCTGATCCAGTCTGGGTAAGGATGGAGCTTCTCTGAAAGGCCATGTATTGTCCAGTGTGGTTACACTTATGGGTTCTGTAATCTAACTGCCTGAGTTAAATCTTGGCTCTGGCACTTACTTGCTGGGTGACTGTGGTCCAATTACTCAACCTCTCTGTGGCTCGCATTCCTCGTGTCTGCCAAGGGCACTGCTGGCACTCCCCACAGGGTTTTTGTGAGAATTCACAGACAAGGGCCTGGTACGTAGTGAGTGCTCTGTGAGTAGTGGCTGCTGTTACTGGTGCTGATGTTGTTCCTGGCTTGTTGTGCTACAGCCTGTGGATTGTTCACAAACCTGAGAACTGGGAGAGCTGGGGTGCCCACAGAAGGGAGAAGTGTGGCCCTTTCACCCGTCTGACCTCTCCCCTGGCAGGTATAAGGAAGGCCTGGCGAACACCAGAGAGATCCTGGTGGATCTAGGTCTGGAGCCCTCTGAGGCTGACTGCATTGCTGTCCAACACGTCTGCACCATTGTTTCCTTCCGCTCGGCCAACCTCTGTGCGGCCGCCCTGGCAGCCATCCTGACACGGCTCCGGGAGAACAAGAGGCTGATGCGGCTGCGCACGACAGTGGGCATGGATGGCACGCTCTACAAGATCCACCCTCAGTGAGTGCCACCTGCTAGCCCACACTTCCACTGACGGCCTGCCCTGCAGTGGTAGCTCAGCATTCCCTTTGCCCTGTGCTGTTTCTCTAAGCAGCTGGGGTCACCCATCAACTGTTGATTCTGAGTCTGCAAGGGAGTAGGTGAATGCAAAGCCCGCATTCCCGTGACTGGGGGCCCATCTTTACAGGACTGTTCTGCTAAAGCTGACTGTCTAATGAGGAAGGCCATTGTGTCCAACCCTCCCTCCATCTCTCCATGTGTCCACTCATCTGTTCATCCACATGCATGTTCCTTGTGTCTGTCCATCCCTCTGCCATCCAACCACCCCTCCATCTATTCACATGTTCTCCAATCTGCCTTTTGTTTTCTGTATCCATCGCCTATCCTTCCATCCATTCATGTGTCCATCTCTCCCTCCTCCATCTACCCATTTATCCATTCACATGTCCCTTCCTCCCTCCCTCCGTCCATCATTCCATCCACACGTCCATAGGTCTGTCTATAGAATCCACCTGCCTGTCTGCATCTCCATCCATCCTTGTGTGCATCTGTCTATGCATTTATCCATCACTTACTGTTTGCCTACTATGTGATAAGACTAGAAAACAAAGCACACCTAACTGTAGATGGAAAATAGGGATGGCAGGTTGCCAATTCACATGAAAGCTCTTGGTAAGGAAAAGGAGACTTAGAGGAAGGAAGGTAGAAGCTCCACACCCATGGGTGCAGCTGGCAGAGAAAACCTTCCTTTTGTGACAGAGGTGATGATCAGCCCTTGTGTGGCACACAGGCCTGTGCTCCTGGCTGAGGTGTCAGTGGGTGAATTAGCCACTTCCCAGAGCATCCAGGGCACCCCATATACTGCCCCCATCCTAGTTACCCCTGACCTCTATCCAGCACATAAATGGTTGTGTTTTTCTACCCCAGCAGGACCCACTACTACACCAAAGCAGCATCTGTTCCTGTTGGGTGGGCTAGGCCTTCCTATTGGTGAAACATGCTACCTTTGTCCCACCTTCAGGTACCCTAAACGCCTGCACAAGGTGGTGAGGAAACTGGTTCCTAACTGTGATGTCCGCTTCCTCCTGTCGGAGAGTGGCAGCACCAAGGGGGCTGCCATGGTGACTGCCGTGGCCTCCCGCGTTCAGGCCCAGCGCAAGCAGATTGATGAGGTGCTGGCTCTGTTCCAGCTGACCCATGAGCAGCTCAGGAGTGTGAAGGACAGGATGCGGGCTGAACTAGAGTTCGGGCTGAAGAAGAAGACACACCCACTCGCCACGGTCAAGATGCTGCCCACCTACGTCTGTGGGATGCCTGATGGCACAGGTGGGCCAGGCACAGCCCAGAGCTCGGTTAGGTGTTTACTTTTCAGAGCTGTGGAATTCAATCTGATGAGGGAGGAGGAGCATGGTGGAAGATTAGCTCTCGTCCTGAGCCTGTTTGCCTTGATTAGCCCACTGGGTTTGCAGTGAGAAACCATCTAAATCAGGTTACATGTGTATGTGTATGTGTGTGTCAGATTCTGTACCTGAGAGTGCAAACTGAAGATACAGGCTCTGTCCCAGGAGCTCTACCCTGTACCCCACCCCTGGAAGGCCATCCATCTGTAGAGTTTGCAGCTGTTGGAGCATAGGACCTAACCCCTCTTGCTCAAGATAAAAGCTGTGCCACAGGACCCCGAGGTCTCTGAACTCCCATCTGGTGCTCCTCTCACAGGACCCCACTGGGGGTGGTGCCTGGGCCAGTGTGCACAAAAAGCAGCCTGGTCTTAGACAAACCAAGGGCCAGTCCAAGCACAGTGACTCCCCAAAACCCCCCAGCAAGATGGGAGCTGGGCCTGCTTGTTTTTGGCACTTTCCCTTCATATTGCCCTGGCACAAGTCCCTGGCTAAGCCCCCTGCTTTTCACACAGAGAAAGGGAAGTTCCTCGCCCTGGATCTGGGGGGCACCAACTTCCGGGTCCTTCTGGTGAAGATCAGAAGTGGACGGAAGTCGGTGCGGATGTACAACAAGATCTTCGCCATCCCCCTGGAGATTATGCAGGGTACCGGCGAGGAGGTAGGTGCCAGGTGGTGGCTCTGTGTTCACTGCGCCAGCATGCCAGCCCCTCTGCCTGTACCCACCCAGGATTAACACCGCTCTCTCCCTGCAGCTGTTTGACCACATTGTGCAGTGCATTGCTGATTTCCTGGAGTACATGGGCCTCAAGGGGGCTCGGCTGCCTTTGGGCTTCACGTTCTCATTCCCCTGCAGGCAGACAAGCATTGACAAGGTGAGCAGCTGTGCTGGCCCCGGCCGCCGCCTCTACCACAGGTGGGGAACTGCCTGGACACTGGGCGCTTGGTCCAGGGGGTCTCACAGTAGGGCCATTGGGGTAGCCTATTCAGCCACTTCAAGGTCTTATTTGTTAGGGGTTGAAGATTTACTAGTGTTTCAACTAATCTACACATTGTCCCCATAGGTGTTTATTTTCCTTTACTGTGTTCTAAATTGGGGTAAAATATGAGAGTTCCTCCACAAGTTCCTGGAAAATATGTTGTAAAAAGCTGTGTGGATCTCAAAATTGTTTGCACCAAAATAAGCTTATTTTTTCTCTCCACTCCTCCATGAACTGTTTGAAATATTCTCATATACACAACATTAAACGTAGCTCGGTGACTGTTTTTACCCTGCTGACCATCCATCTCAGCTTCTTCATCTCCCTTGCCCGAAGCTCTGTGTCTGCTCACACTCATGCCTCCCTTTCCTGTCTCCACACTGGGAAGCTGTCTGTAGCTGTGAGTGTGTGTAATTACCGCGTGTGCCTTGTGCAAGTGGACTCTGGCAGCATTTGTCCTTTTATATTTGATTTGTTTTCTCTCAACTTGATGCCAGAATCTCCTTCCTTTTGAAGGATAATTATATCCCATTATGTATTTGCCCGCTGTTTTCTGTCACTGTTTTGTGTAGAGAGGCAGAGACAGTGAGGAACTGGTTCAGGTTGCTGCACTGTAGATGACAGTGGAGGGTTCCAATCCGTAACACGTCCTGTGGAACCTGCACTCTTTTTTTTTTTTTTTAAGATTTAAAAATTTTTATTGCAAAGTCAGATATACAGAGAGGAGAGTCAGAGAGGAAGATCTTTCATCCGATGATTCACTCCCCAAGTGAGCTGCAACGGCCGGTGCTGTGCCGATCTGAAGGCGGGAACCAGGAACTTCTTCCAGGTCTCCTGTATGGGTGCAGGGTCCCAAAGCTTTGGGCCATCCTCGACTGCTTTCCCAGGCCACAAGCAGGGAGCTGGATGGGAAGTAGAGCTGCCGGGATTAGAACTGGTGCCCATATGGGATCCTGGTGCATTCAAGGCGAGGACTTTAGCTGCTAGGCCACGCTGCCGGGCCCATGGAACCTGCAGTCTTGCACTCTGCTCTCTCAGCAGCCAGGACTCGGAGCCTGGGAGGCGCAGTGCCCCCACACATACAGAATCTCAAAACTCAGTGCTTGGGCCCAGCGCGGTGGCGCAAGTGGTTAAGGTCCTCGCCTTGCACGCCCGGGATCCCATATGGGCGCCGGTTCTAATCCCGGCAGCCCCGCTTCCCTTCCAGCTCCCTGCCTGTGGCCTGGGAAAGCAGTCGAGGACGGCCCAAAGCTTTGGGAACCTGCACCCGCGTGGGAGACCCGGAAGAGGCTCCTGGCTTCGGATCGGCATAGTATCGGCCCGTTGCGCTCACTTGGGGAGTGAATCATCGGACGGAAGATCTTCCTCTCTGTCTCTCCTCTCTGTATATCCGCCTTTCCAATGAAAAAAAAATAATAATAAAAATAAATCTTAAAAAAAAAAAAAAAAACTCAGTGCTTATTATGTGCATTGCATTCTGTTTCCTATTTCATTTCCCTTAAGGAGAGGTGGAATTAGGGCATGCAAGTGTTATCTGCTGGATAAATAAGAAGTCAGAGATGAAAGGCATGTGCTTCAGCAGGCCTGCCTTCCTCTGGCTTGATCCTTGAGGAACTCTGAAGAGGGCTTCTTAAAAGACTGTCATCTGTTGCTGTGTCTGGATTGCTCAACATTAGTCATGCCAAGAGATGGACTTCTCCAGCATGTGCCCCGGAAGGAATGAACAGGAATGCTCATGGCAGCACCACTTGCTATAGACAGGATAGAAAGAGTAGAAGCTTCTTGCAGGGCGTGGTCACTTAGTAGACTGGGGTGGAGACGTCGTATGGAATTAATGCTTTTATTTCACAAGCACACCTACTCAGAGTGTTCTGAGTGCTTCGTGAACCTGACATGACCTAACCTGACTAGGAGAGAGCCGGATTCAGCAGTTCAGAGCATGGGCTGTCGGGCCAGATGGCCTGGGCACCTCGCCTTCTCCACAGGCTATGTGACCTTGGAACAGTCAGTTTTCCTCTCTGCACATTGGTTTCCTTATTTCAAAAAATTGGATTAAAAGCAATGCTATTTCATAGGTTTCTTGTGGATTTTTAAAATTCTGTATATAGCAATGAGGTATATTTTTCAGATTTATTTGAACTGACCTAGAAAGGTCTGGAAGATGCATTATTGAATAAAGAGAACAAATTGCAATATGAATTCACTTATTTCAAAACACATAAGGGAGGAGAGGAAAAGGTCTGGAAAGATTCGTTTCAGATGGCTAGAACAGAGACTTCATACTTAGCAGTCATGTTTTAACTTTTTTTAAAGTATCATGTATTCATGAATCACAAATGCCATTGGAAATTAATCTGCTGCAGGAGAGGGGAGTTGCTGTAGGTAGCTGTCCACGGTTCTGAATGGCCGGTAGGTATCAAGGCACAGCCGTGCCTCTGACTAGGCCACTGGACCTCTGGGCTTCTGTGTCCCAACAGTGTTGAGTCAAGTGAGAACTTTAATTATGAAAATACAGTTAAAGGGGAGAGCAGAGCAGTGGCTAGCTTGGAGCAAAGGTGCTTAAGGCTGTAGAGAAGGAATGGAGGTTTGAAAATAGGTGTTTATATCCTGGGGGCAGGGTTAGGTGCAGTGGTTAAGATGCTGCTTGGGAACACCTGCATCTCGTGTCACAGTGGCTGAGTCACATCCCAGCACTGCTGCTTATTCCAGCTCCCTGCTGATGTGCATCCTCAAGGACTGCACTCAGCCGAGTGTGTGTGTGTGTGTGTGTTTAAGATTTATTTTCTATGTACTTTTTTATTGGAAAGGCAGATATACAGAGAAAAGGAAAGACAGACTGAAACATTTTCCATCTGCTAGTTCACTTCCTAAGTGCCCACAGTGGCCAGAGCTGAAACCAGGAGCTTCTTCTGGGTCTCCCATGCTGGTGCATGGTCCCAAGGCTTTGGTCATCCTGTGCTGCTTTTCCTGGCTACAAGCAGGAAGTTGGATAGGAGATGGAATAGCTAGGCCATCAACTAGTGTCCATATGGAATGCCAGTCCTTGCAATGGGGGAATTTAGCCACTAAGCCATCGTACCAAGCCTGAGTGTTGTATTTTTTTAAAAAATTTATTTTTATTATTTTTTTTTATTGGAAAGGCAGATATACAGAGAGGAGAGACAGAGAGGAAGTTCTTCCGTCTGATGATTCACTCCCCAAGTGAGCGCAACGGCCAATGCTATGCTGATCCGAAGCCAGGAGCCTCTTCCGGGTCTCCCACGCGGGTGCAGGGTCCCAAAGCTTTGGGCCGTCCTTGACTGCTTTCCCGGGCCACAGGCAGGGAGCTGGAAGGGAAGCGGGGCTGCCAGGATAGAACCGGCGCCCATATGGGATCCCGGGCGTGCAAGGCGAGGACCTTAACCACTTGCGCCACCGCGCTGGGCCCCTGAGTGTTGTATTTTGTGTCACCTTTGTGCCTGTGTCAGCACTGCAGAGTGGCACCTTGTCCAGAGCTCCTGCACATAGCTGGCCAGCAGCTCTAGTGTCAGTGTCTGCTAGGTGTTGTGCAGGGGTCTTCACAACCACTGAACGAGTGTATTTTCCCCTCCTTTCTTTCAGGGGACACTAATAGGATGGACCAAAGGCTTTAAGGCCACCGACTGCGAAGGGGAGGATGTGGTGGACTTGCTCAGGGAAGCCATCAAGAGGAGAAATGTAGGCTGTGGTATTGAGGCTCCTGTATAATCTGCCCCCTTCCCCTCAATTCTCTGACCCTGGCCTCTGCCTTCCTTGGGCTGATCTGTTCTCCTTCCCCCCTGGATCCTGTTTGGCCTGCACGTGCTACTCACAGGAGAGCTGCTTCCTTTGCAGGAGTTTGACTTGGACATAGTTGCAGTGGTCAACGACACTGTGGGAACCATGATGACCTGTGCTTATGAAGATCCCAATTGTGAGATTGGCCTGATTGCAGGTAAGTGATCAGACGTAGCCCATTGGCCTGTTCCCACCTGTTTTTCCCTGATTTCAAGGAGTGTGGTGTGAGTGTGTGTGTGTGTGTGCGTGCTTCCATTATGCAAAGACTCTGTTCAAGGCAGAGATGACATTAAGACTGCTATCACAAGTCTTCTAATTTGTAACTTGATATCTTTCCATGAAGAGTTCAAGACCAAGGGCATCTTTTTTGTTTGCTTGTTTAAGTATTTATTTTTGTTTGAAAGGCAGAGTTACAGAGAGAAGGAAAGACAGAAAGAGATCTTTCCTCTGCTGGCTCACCCTCCAAATGGCTGCAACAGTCAGAGCTGGGCCATTCTGAAGCCAGAAGCATCTTCCAGGTCTTTCACATGGATGCAGGGGCTCAAGCACTTGGGCCATTCTCTGTTGCCTTTCCAGGTTATTAACAGGAAGCTGGATCTGAATGAGAGCAGCTAGGACTCAAACCTATACCTGCATGGGATGTCTGCACTGCAGTCAGAGGCTCAACTTACTGCACCATGACGCCAACACTCTCTCCCCTCCCATAAACAAAGGCATCTTTGCCAGTGAAGGAGAGGCTATAGAAAGGAGTTACAAGTCAGTGCCTTGGAATGAAGCTAGACTGCAGTTAGATAGTGTTGGTCTGGGCCTGAGGGAGCTGGCTGTGGGCTCTGACCCCAATGTTTGTCTCTTCTGCTCTCTGAGCTTTGGGACTCTTAGGGCTCACAGGAAGGGAAGGAGTTGGAAAGAAACATACAAGAATGAGGTGACCTGTGGGAGAAACCCAGGAGTATCTAAGTGCATGGTGGATTCCAAGGAAATGACTCTCTTACAAGTTAAGAAAGAGGCATGGTTAGAACAGGCAAAGGTGAAAGGCAGAGAGGTGGATCCAGACCGTTGTCTGGAGTGTGAGCAGTTCCTGGGTGTGACCAGTAGGTGGAGCAAGGTGGGAGTGTGCGCAGAGCTGTCCCCAGTGGCTGGTGAAGCTTCCCCTCTATTACCCACCTTGTGCTGGACAGGCTGCTTACTCTGTCTGGAGTTTTCTCATCTGTAGAAGGGGTTGAGCTAGATCTAATGGGTAACCAGGGAGGCCGTGGGGTTGAATATGAGTGTTCTCCCGACTACTGGGTTGGGAATAGTTCTGATACGAGGTCATAAGCAAGAGAGAAGAGGGTGACACTCACTGCAGTAGCCTTTCCCAAGGCTAGGTGATGGTCCCTTCCAGCTCTGACCTCTGGGAAGCTTTGCATGCTTATAGCTCGATGACAATGATGGCAGGAGAGGAGAGAGAGGAAGAGGCATGGACCATGCAATGAATAGTTAGCATGGGGAAGAATCCTAGAAATATCCCTCCACTTTCTTCCTTTGTGACGAACTTATACAGGCAGGTGTGATTTCCCTTTTAACAGGTGAGAAACAGCCTTTGAAAGCTGTGGTTCTCGCCCAAGGTCAGCCGGCACCACGTCCCATGCTGTCTCAACATCGAACCTACTTTACCCCTGCAGTCCACTGCCCCCTCTAGGACCTGGGGGTGTCTCTGATGACCGAAGTCCCTCCCTGCTCCCTTCTAGGAACAGGCAGCAACATGTGCTACATGGAGGAGATGCGGAACATTGAGCTGGTGGACGGGGATGAGGGGAAGATGTGCATCAACACAGAATGGGGAGGGTTTGGCGATAACGGCTGCATGGACGACATCAGGACCCAGTATGACAAGGAGGTGGATGAGGGCTCCTTGAATCCTGGCAAGCAGAGGTGAGGAAGGCAGGTGTGGGCAGATGTGTACCTTTAATGCAGGTTATACCTTTATCTAATCTATGGGGGCGTGCATTTCCATACCATAGACACTGGCTTTGGACTGGTTGCAAATCTCCATCAGGTGCCATTCGAGTCTCTTAATGGTGTACAAGCAGAGGTGTAATGGATGGATTTGCTATAGGCAGAAGGAAAGAGGCCATTTTTCTATTTACCCCATGGCACTATATAGCCAGTAGTGGCTCTGGAAGTGGGACAGAGGCTGTCAGAATGTCTGCTCAGGGCCGGTGCTGCAGCAGGGACATGGTGATTGAGCGAGCCCTCTTGGGGTGGCCTGCCTCAGGTCCAGTTAAGAACAGCATCCTCAGTCTTTGAAAAGCTGGCTGCTGGGATTGTTGACTTTTGTTCTGGTGACTGGAAGTGAATCCCAGGGACGGACAGGAGTACTGGTTGCCAACTCTGTTATCATGTGTTACCATGGGGCATGACCACTTGTGAGGTATGTTTCAATCCACTAATCACCCCCAAATCCTGAAAGTAACACATAGAAAAAGCGTATTTTTACTTGTACTGTGCTGCTTCTTCGCAATTAGGAGAGCTCAGGGCAGGTAGAGATCTGTGTGCCAGGCATAGGCTCTTCTATCCCAACAGGGGCTGGCAGACTTTTTCCATAAAGGACAAGACAGAACATGTTTTACATTTTATAGGCCAGATGGGCTTTGTCACAATGAAGGTCTGCATCTTAATGTATAAGATAAGGGGACAAAAAAAAAAATCAGAGGAAATGGAGATTTCTTGTGGTGGGTGATATCCAAAGGGGAATGTTGAGCAGTCAGATCATGAAATACCTGGGCCATGGACGCCCAGGGAACTGGTGGAATGAGAATGGTGTTTGGGAAGAGCTTTGGCAGAGCTAAGCCAGGCCCTGATAGTTCCCCAGCTTCCTGTGGCATTAGTCCTTGTGGCTGGAAAGAAGTTGAGTTAAGTACAGTAAGACCAGTAAAACCCTCCAAAAAGAAGGAACTTTCTATTCAAAATTCAAAATAAATGTTTAAAAAAAAGGGACTTTCTCTATAAATTCTGTGTCAGGGCATCTGAGCATAGCACATCTCCTTTAGGGGCAGGTTCCTTTTGCCTTAGCTTTCTGTGGGCACTTCCATTTTTGGACCCAGAGTTTGAGAGGCAGATTCGGTACAGACACATTCCTGTTTCTGTTGGCCTCTGCATGTGGTGCTGGTCTGGCTCTGCAGCACCCTCACCAGGGACAATGGGACCAGTGCTCACATACTGCTCTCCAGGGCCTCCTCTGTGCCTGGTCAGGTCCACAGCCCCTTTCCTGCTTGCCCTCTTGGAGTGCAGAGCCTGACCAAAGTGGAAGGGACTTATTTGGAGCACCCCTGAGGCGTGCAGAGGTTTAAATGTCTTAGGGAACAGCATCTGTAGTTTCTTCAAATACAAAGCCAAGGAGAAACTCCAGCAGGACAGATTGGTAATACAAAGCCAAGGAGAGCAGGCTTTTGGGGCCGAGAAAGGGATTAACTTCTCCTTTGTGCCAACTCTGCCCCAGATGTCTGCCTCCTAATAGCTTTGTGGGGTGCTGGTTTACTCTGCATTTTGTAGATGATGGCTCATGGGGCATGCTCACACTAGGCAGCTAGTTTGTGGCAGACCAAGGACCTGGGTTAATGTGACCCCAGAGCCAGCTTTCTCCCCCTGGTATGGTCTTTTGTCTAATGTTTCCTTGGGCAGCCAGGCAGCTGAAGATGCCCAGGGCATGTCTCCCTGACACAGACCCAAAGTCCTTCCAGAAACCACTGGCTGACGCTGGGTTTCCTGTCCTCAGCAGCTGAATGCTTCTCCCCTCAACAGGTATGAGAAGATGACGAGTGGGATGTACCTGGGCGAGATTGTGCGGCAGATGCTGATCGCCCTCACCAAGCAGGGCCTCCTCTTCCGAGGGCAGATCTCAGAGCGGCTCCGCACCAGGGGCATCTTCGAGACCAAGTTCCTGTCCCAGATCGAAAGGTGACATGTAATGGGTCTACCCATGTGCTCAGAGATATTCTGTGGGACTTGTTATCCTCATGCCAGGCTGGGCATATTTGAGACTTAATATAAAAGCAGAGAGGCCCCAGCTGAGGGAGGGCTTGCCCCTGGGGTGGCTGCCCGTGTCTAGCTGCAGCCATCTGCTGGCACTTGGAGCATGCAGTGGCATCTTCCCACAGGATCCTACAGGGTTACATAAGAATTAGGGGAAGCCTGAAGTGTTATCTTCTTTTCTTTCAAAAAAAAAAAAAAAAAAAAGATGAACCCAGGACATGAAAGCAAAGCCTGAAAGGCTTCCAAACTCCTGCCCTGTCAAAAGAAGCCATTTCCATTTTTGCTTATTATGTTCCCTTTTAAATACTTAAGTGTGTGTAGACATTTTTTTTTGCAATCATATTCATGGAATAACTGTGTGTATTACTCAGTTTTTTCATGAAAACATTCATTTAAATTTTGATTGCTTTAATTTGTTAAAGGATTTATTTATTTTTATTGTAAAGTCAGATTTACAGAGGGAAGGAGAAACAGAGAGAAAGATCTTCCATCTGCTGGTTCACTCCCCAAGTGGTTGTAACAGCTGGAGCTGAGCCGATCCATAGCCAGGAGCCAGGAGCGTCTTTCAGGTCTCCCATGTGGATGAGGGGTTCCAAGGCCTTGGGCCAGTCCATGAGCAGGGAGCAGGATGGGGAGTAGAGCAGCTGGGACGTGAACCGGCGCCCATATGGGATTCTGGTTGCATGCAAAGGTAAGATTTAGCCACTAGACTACTGCAGCACCAGGCCAAATATTTTCATTTTTATAGTGGAAAGCTGTAAACAAATGCTAAAGGAAAGGAATAGTTACATGAACTCAATGCTTCTGTCATTTGCTTCAGCAGTAATCAACTTAAAATCAGATGGGTTATCCACAAGGTGCCTCTAAAAGTTTATGTAGGAAATTGAACTAAAAGATGAGTTTTAGTTTGTGTAGATATTTTTTTAATCTACACATCAATTTTTTATAACACACACTTCGCATAAACTTTTTTATTATGCTGTAACATTGTATCCCAATTTCATTAAGCATTCCCATGTAAATTCATGTTGAAGTTCTATAAAAATTCTGTTTTCTGGCTACATTACCAGTAACCTGCTGAATCCTCTAAATGTCTATACTGTTGTTCTCATTCTTTCCCACAGTATCACCTTTGATAAGGCAGGGTTGTGATTGCACCTTGTTGGACATGGGACCCCAAGCTCTGAGGATGCACCATACATTATCGTTGGGGGCCTAGGAGAGGATCACTGTCTAGCCTGGGGCCACCTACCCCGTGATGGGCACTCCTTCAGGGTTTCCACTCTTGTCAGATTGTTGTTCTCTGAGGAACAGATATATGTTATGTATCCTTTATTTACCTGCTCATTGAATATACCCAGTCCTGGGCTGGTTTTCAGATGGCATATAGTCTAGTTGGGTGAGAAAGCAGAGAATCAGAAAAAGTTAGGTGAAACGAGAGTCGACTCCCAACTAAATGAAAGAGTGAAAGAGAGGTGGGCTGGTCCCTGGGAGCAGGCTGGGACCAGCCCACCTCTCTTTCACTCTTTCATTTAGTTGTTTTGGAAGCCCTGCTTGCCACTGTCCAAGAGGTAAGTTTAACACTCTCATCCTCAGAATCCTCTAATGGATCCTGGTGTGTGTGTTGCCACATCTCAAGGAGCCGCTGGTGAGGTGATGGGTGTTAATGCACTCACACTTGGGTTTGTGAAGATGATGGAACTTCCTGGGTGATCTCAGGCCTCCTTCTGCTGTGCAGCTGTTGTTCAGGCCTTCTCCTGCCCACTGTGAAAGACTTTAGGGCTGCGGAAGCCGTGGGTTATACTGAGCGGTTCTCAGGGCCCAGGACGCAGGCTCTGACACCCCACTGTGCTTGCCTGCAGTGACCGCCTGGCCCTCCTTCAGGTGCGGAGGATCCTGCAGCAGCTGGGCCTGGACAGCACATGTGAGGACAGCATCATAGTCAAGGAGGTGTGTGGAGTTGTGTCCCGTCGTGCAGCCCAGCTCTGTGGTGCTGGCATGGCTGCTGTCGTGGAGAAAAGGCGGGAAGACCAGGGGCTGGAACACCTGCGGATCACCGTGGGTGTAGACGGCACCCTGTACAAGCTGCACCCACAGTGAGTGTCCTGAGGGGCCTGGTGGAGGCAGGGTGGGGCCCTTGGCTGCCCAGTGGGAAGATATGTTCTGCCCTTTTGTGGAACTGGAGTGCTGCATGGCGAAGTCACCCTTGAATGTAACAGACAAGGGGTGAGCCCCGGTGCCTTGGCCTCCTGGTTGCAAGGGTGGGAGCATTAGCTGGCCCCTCTAGAGCCTGTTCCGCATTTGTATAAGGGCAGTAGTAATGTGCCTACCCTGATGGCTAAGTGATAGGGATTTGATTTAATGAATTCTTATATGTCACGGTCTCAAGATAATGTGCTGGTGTTATTAGCATACATTTCCCACATCTCACAAGGGCGTATTGAGAATTGAGTGTTGTGCATGGTGTAGCATGCTCATCAACTATTAGCTGCTTGTAGGTTTCTATTTTATATTGAATTCCTTTATAAAGGAAAACATAACTTTTTAAAACAGATCATTAAAAAAGACAGTAAGGGAAGGGGGAGAGAGAGAGAGAAAGGTTTTATCAGCTGATTCATGTTCCAGGCCAAGCTAAAACCAGGAGCCAAGACTTCCATCTGGGCTTCCCTTGTGGGTAGCAGGTGAATTCCTCTAGCTGTCATCTTCTACGTCCCAGGCACATGAACAGCAGAACAGCCAGGGCACCAAAATTGGCACTCCAATAAAGTGTACAGGTTTCCAAGTCAGGGCTTAACTTACTGCACCACAAGGCTGTCGGCTAAAGAGTTAGATTTTTAAAAAATTACTTATTTGAGAGGCAGAAAAAGAAAGCAAAATTACTCACTCCTCAAATACCCACAACACTATGCCAAGACCAAGCATGTTAACAGGAAACTGGAATGAGTGGAGCTGCGACTGACCCGAACACTCTGAACCTGAATGTGGGTTTCCCATGCAGTTTCTTCACCACAAGATCAAATGCCTGCCTGCCTGTCTACCTGCCTGCCTGCTCTGGAAAAAACTTGAGAAAAGGAAGGATTTTAGAAAAAGGCAGACCTCATGCGGATTCTAGCTGTGCCAATTTTGGCAAGTTTCTGAACACTTGAGCAACAGTTTCTTTATTCGGTACAGAGTAATCACTGTTGTCACAGTATTATTCACTACACATTGTCCCTCTGTGTGTGACACCCATGAGCCATCCATCCCACATTGATAGTGGCCAGCAAAGGGAGAGAGTGTCAGAGCAGTGTAAGAAGCAGCTGGCAGCCTTGAGAAGGACAGCAGGAGTAAACGAGACCAATCTCTGTTAGGCTGCTAAAGCCCATCTTTCTTCCCTGTAGCTTTTCTCGGATACTGCAGGAGACTGTGCAGGAGCTAGCCCCGCGCTGCGAGGTGACTTTCATGCTGTCAGAAGATGGCAGTGGAAAGGGAGCAGCTCTCATCACCGCTGTGGCCAAGAGACTGCAGCTGCCACGGAGAGAGAACTAGGAGCCCCAGGCACTGTGCATCCCAACAGGCCTTTCATCTGGGAAGAGTCGCTCCAGGACCAGCAGGCAGACTCCTGGCTGACCTCACCCTGTGGATGGCTGAGAGAGCCCCAGGTTCTTGGGCATTCCTCATGTCATCTTGTTACTGGATTTACAAAGGCATTAAATGACACCTCTGTCATGTGGACTGGGGCCAGAGATGGACCAATTCATAAAATCAAATGGTCTGGCTCAAGCAGGCCCCTGTCAGCCGACTATAGGCCTGAGTTGTTAGTTGTGTGTGGCCTTGGGTTTTGTGGCTGCTGAACACCAAAGCATGTACAGAAGCTGGCCGAGGGGTCTTGCTGGCTGAGCTCTGCCTTTTGTGATGATGAGGCCCTCAACTTGTGGTTAAACATTGAGAGGGATTTGTGTCAGGATTTGAGGGGATCCAGTGTAAATATGCATAACTTGCCTTAACTTGCCACATCGATGTCCAAGTGAAGGGAGAACAAAGCTTGTCACGTGTCCGGCCCCAGGAGGCAGCAGGGCTGGTGGCTGAGGGACCCTACAGGAGTCTGGTTATGCTTCCAGAAATCCTTTGGCACCCTGTGGGCTTTTCTCCTCCATGGGGGTGTCTGGGGACAGGGCACTTCTCCAGGCATCTGTTTTCCATTTTACCTGGGGCTCTTGTTGATAGTTGTTTAAAGGACTGCTAGATACATGAAATCCAGTGAACCAATAAAAATACTTGATTTCCCAAGAAGCTTGGCTTGAGGTGTTGGTATTTCTCCTGGGAGGCCTGTTGGTAATCCCATGCTCTGTTGGTGGATGGGATGAGAATCAATGGAGTTGCAGAAGTTGAAGGATCTTGTTAGTCCCAGCTGCCTACCAACAGGGAAAACAACGTATGGAACATCTGCTACAGTTTCCTTAACAGAGCATCCCGATTTAACTTGAACAAATACTTCCTGTGACTGAATACTTACCATGTGACCCTGTAATTCTAGCCCACTTTTGTACAGTTGAGGGTGATTGGAAGGCATTTGTTTATCTATCTGTCTGTTCATCTATTTTGAAAGGCAAAGGCAGATGTGCAGTGGACAGCATGTCCAGATACCTGTGGGGGACATGATGGCAGACTCCTCTAGGCCAGAAGGGGATGGGCATCAGCTATCTCATCAGAGGATAGAAAGCAGAGCAGATTGGACAGTTCTGACCAAGCTTTGCAGCATGTTCCTTTGGCTGCACTAAGGTGGACTTTGTCAACCAATAGCCCCAGGAAGGATTTTCTCAACCCTGCAGCAACAAAACCGACGATGTCTCGGGGCTAGAGACACTACTCAAGTGACACCCTAGGAACACTCTTCCTAACATCAGGGGTTTTTTGGAGGTCATCAAATGACTGTCTCCCATCCTCGGCTTCTAATGTTAGAAAGAAGCAGCCTTCTCTCTCTCCTCCCCTTGCGAACACAGGAGAAAAGAAAAAGACTAAAACGTGTGTCCCACCCACCTATCTCCATACCTGACCCTCCCCATCCTTATCAAAGGCCCACATGAGCATGCATTCCTCTTAACTATGGGAACAACATTAAAAAAGAAATTTAGAAATTTACAGAAAGGCTGATGAATAGAGGGTTCTTCCATCTGTGGGTTCATTCCTCAAATGCTAGGGCTGGTCCAGGCTGTAGCCGGGAACTGGGAACTTGGTCCAAGTCTCCAGTGTGGGTGGCAGGGACCTAACTACTTGGCCTATCCCCTGCTACCCTGCTGAGTGCGCATGAGCAGGCAGTTAAAACTGGGAGAGGAGTTGGGATTGGAGCACTAACACTGATACGGGATCTAGCTTCCCTGGCAGCATTTTTTTTTTTAAAAAAAACAGATCAGATTTACATAGAGAAGGAGAAACAGAAAATCTACTATCCACTGGTTCACTCCCCCAAATGGCCATAATGGCTGAACCTGAGCTGATCCAAAGCCAGGAGCCAGGAGCTTCTGAGTCTCCCATGCAGGTTCAGGATACCAAATTTTTGAGCCATCCTCCACTGCTTTCCCAGGCCATAAGCAGGGGCTGGATGGGAAGTGGAGCAGCTGAAATACCAACCGGTGTTCATAGAAGATATCAGCGCTTGCCAGGTGAGCATTTAGTCATTGTGCTGGGTCTGCTGACAACATAACTAACCTTGTAGCCTCGAAGCTGTTCTCCTCCACCTGGGAACTTGGTCCCTCCCACTCACCCTGGAGCTGTGTGGAGTTGGCCTGTCCCAACCCCTTCTGCAGTAACAGCCTGTGCTGTTCTTCTTCCTCCCACCCTGCCTTGACCTGAACTGCCTGTGCCTGCTTCTCTTGTCACTCCTTTAGGCACAAAGTGGGAAGCCCGCACTGTGTCATCCTGACTGCATTTTATTATGGAGGGAGCCATGAGCAAGTGATAAAATTCTTGGAGAAAATTTCAGAAAAAGTGAAGCCCCAAATGGAAAGAACAACCTTCAAGATACTCCGGGGTGATTCTGATTGATACGTTGCTCCTGAGCCACCGAGGGCTGTTGGCTGTCTCTTCCAGAGGTGCTGAAGCAGATGGACAGAGTGGAGGAGCCCAAGGCCCAAACAGTGAGGAGGAAGGTGCGCTGGGACTGGGGACAGATGAGGGAGCCGAGGGTCCCGGAAAATAGCTTTCCATGTGTTCAGTGAACATGTGTGCCAACAATGCTCTGACTGTCTCCTAGCTTACCAAAAGTAATTGCTTTGCATTTTGAAATTTCTGCTATCTGGAGTCATGTTGGTGGACTTTCTATGTTTACCTTCTTGTATTTGGAGATTGTATTTCCTCTTTGGGGAGAGGCTCTGTTGTATCTGATTCTGTGTTAGTCAACCTGGCTGTCCTGGCTCTGTCCCCAGGCCTGCCTTCCTTGTGAGACACCTTCAGCATCCAGGCCTATTCTCTACTGGTTCTCCTGGGGCATTTCTTTTTAAAAGATTTATTCTATTTGAAAGGCAGTGTTATAGAGAGGAAAGAGAGAGAGAAGGAATCTTCCATCTGCTGATTCAGTCCCCAAATGACTACAACAGCCAACGCTGGGCCAACCTGAAGCCAGGAGCCAAGGGCTTCCTTCAGGTCGCCCATGTGGGTTCAGGGTCCCAAGGCAGTGAGCAGCTGGGACACAAATTGATGCCCATGTGGGATGCTGGCACCATGGGTGGAGGCTCAGCCTACTATGCCATGGTGCTGGCCCTGTAGGGGCATCTCTTTAAAAATTATATCTATATCTATATCTATCTATCTATCTATCTATCTATCTATCTATCTATCTATCTATGTATTATGTGTGTGTGTGTGTGTACACATCTGAGATAGAAATAGGAGAGAGAGAAAGTAAGTGAATGAGCACTATCTGACATCTATTGGTTTGTAACAGTTGTGGCTGGGCCAAGCTGAAGCCAGGAGCCAGGAACTCTATCTGTCTTCCAGTGGGTTGCTAGAACTTAAGTCCTGGCACCATGATCTATTGCTTCCTGGGTGTGTTAGCAGGGAGCTGTATGTGAAGTGGAGCAGCCAGGACTTGAACCAGGACTCTGATATGGGATGTTGTCATCTCAAGGGGAAGCTTCACCTATTGTGCCACAGTGCCTTACTGAGTGGATGAGCAGGTCTACAGAGAGATTCAGGTTACTGGGCCACCCTTTCTCCCATGACCTGGTCTCTCAGTACATGCTTGGCAGGTTAGAGCAGGTCACCCAAACTGCTTCTCTCGCAACTCCGCTCTCTCAGATGAAAAAACAGGCCCAAGGTATCCAGGCAACCTTGTACATTCCAACTAATTGACAGCATCATAGAATCCTTGCACCAGAACTCCAGAATTGGTAGGTGTCTTGTCTTTGCATTAGGCCGGCCCCAGAAACACCTGGGGCAATGGATGCTCCACTTCTCCTGCAAGTTTACTAGGCAAGACCAGCAACCGTACAACAAGGTAAACCATGCTTCAGTTGTGCTTGTGAGAACCCTGGGGTCTTTTCCTCTCAGAAAAACATCTTCAGCTGCATTTCCTGTTTTCTTGCCCCATCACTCCTTTTTCCCAGTGATCCTCAGGTCTGAAAGGGTAGATGGCTACAGAGTCAGATTTAGATTTTCCTCATACCTCTGCAGAACCGGTGCCCTCATCCCTTCTTATATTTGTCAGAGAGCTTGTTTCCTCTGCTTGCTGTGGGCTTGGATGAGTGCTCCACAGGGACAAGAACATGGGTCTCCTTATTCTTATTTGACCCCAGATCCAATCCCAGTGGCTAGCACTGAGTCACCACTGGAAAGTTCTGTAAATGAATACCCGAATGAATAAATGCTCAAACAGGCACCTCCGCTTTCCTTTGGATTTCTCCGTTTTCCTGCCTCACTCAGTGGGACTCATACACAGCAGAGGCACCAAGTCTTGCTCTGGGCACCAAAAACCTAGAGAAATTTGAGACTCCTTTCCTGTCCTATAAGAACTCACAGATTATCAAGGAAAGAATGCCAGATACATATCTGCAACTTACTGTGGTGAGCAGGAGCATGAGGGAGGCACAGCTCCTGACCATGCCCTGTCTGCTTTACATCAAGAACCAGGTGTGTGTGCAGACCATACTGAAACATACGGGTTCTATTTCAGAATAATGTTTGTAAGTGCATAAGATACATAGGTTTACAAAGGAAACCAGTAGTATTGAATTATGGCTACTGAAAAATTAAAGTAGTGATAGGATATTGCCAATGCTCACCTTAGCAGAAATCTTTTTTAAGATTCATTTTGTTTTTATTGGAAAAGTAGATTTATGGGTCTGGTACAATGGCCTAGTGGCTTAAGTCCTTGCCTTGAATGCACCAGGATCCCATATGGGTGCATGTTCTAATTCTGGCAGCTCCACTTCCCATCCAGTTCCCTGCTTGTGGCTTGAGAAAGCAGTCGAAGACCGCTCAAAGCCTTGGGAACCTACACCTGCATGGGGGACCTGGAGGAGGTTCCTGGCTCCTGGCTTCAGATCAGCGCAGCACCAGCCGTTGTGGTCACTTGGGGAGTGAATCATTGAACGGAAGGTCTTCCTGTTGTCTCTCCTCCTCTCTGTATATCTGACTTTGTAATAAAAATAAGTAATTTTTTTT